GGGGGGGGGGGGGGGGAGAGCCAAGGCTTACCCGCAAAAGTGCAAAAAAAAAAAAAAAGCGAAAAAGAAAGAGGGGAGGGGGCGCGCTTCAGCTGGAGCGTGCTTGATGGCGCCTTGACCGACTGCAGCGCGTTCAAGAAAGACACGGAGAAGTAATCAACGGGGCAGTAGGGAAGGGCATCCGAGTTTCGGAGAAGAGAAGAGGGTAGGAAGGGGTTGTGACAGAGCGTTGCATGCGTGTCTTTGCAGATCACCCCCGAAACTGTCAAGGACAAGGCGACAAGGGCGCGTCAAAGGGCAAAAGGCGTTGCTGCGGTTTTGTTTGGTCGCACTCTAAACCAATGGGTCAATGGTTGATGGTGTAGGTTTTTTTCAAGTGAACTGGCTCAATGGGGCACACACGGCCGTCCACCATAGGGTGATGGATGGTGATGGTGTGTGGAAGTGTAGGTGTGGTTGGAAGTGGAAGGACAGTGCGGTTTGTTGGCCGAGTGAAGAGGGGGGAGGTCGGCAAGCAGGCAGGCAGGCAAGCAGGCAGGCACCCCAAGACACCAGCAGCCAATTGCTGTATGGGCAAGTCTTTCAGCGGTCACAAAGGGGTTAAAAGGGTGCGAGTTGGTTGCCGAGAAAACAAACCCGCTTGACGCTGTTGAAGGTGATGATGGATGTGTGGGAAAAGAGGGTAGGGGTGATGGGGTGATGGGGTGATGCTCGCTTGTTCCTACAGCTCCTCCCAGAACTTTTGGTTGGAGGCTGGTCAAGGAGATGAGCTGGGGGAATGGATGGGATGGCACGGACGGACGCGCGCGCCACCTTTTTGGGGGTCAGGGGTCAGGGGTAAGGGTTGAAGCAGCACTGCCAATAGCGGCCACCTGCACAATGATGTGTGTTGGTTGGGTTTCGTTTTTCTTTTTTTCTATGAGTGGAAGAGAAAGCAAGAGAAGAGAGACAAGGGAGAGAAGATGGAGAGGGACAGAGCAGAAGACGCAGACGATCAGAGAGATGGAGTACGAAACAGAGGAGTGAACAGACAAAGAAAAGCCGGATCAGAGAGAGTGAAGCAGAGAGACAGCGAGACAGAGATAGAGGCATAGGTAGACAGATATGGAGAGAGGCAGCGAGAGAGAAATTAGAAAAGCGATATCCCATATCCAAGCTTGGGGCATGTGGGTTTGATGCACGAGCTTCTGCGTGTGATGGAACACGCCAAGATGGCCGGATGGCTCTTTCGCGACCCAGGCACCGGTAAGGAATCACTTACATCGATGCACGCATACCGAGTCGCGCGCGCTGTGCAACTAGCACAGGGTGCATTGATCTTAGGCTTGCGAGCTGGCATCTGGCCTGGTTGCCATCTTATTTGCCGGCTCGCCTTGACTCGTTCACGACTTGCTGTCCAGAATCAAGAAGCGTGTGTTGCCGAGAGCCGTCTTCATCTCATGCATGGTGCGAATGATGGTGCTCAGCATGACATGCCGACAAGCGAGTCGACGGCATGTCCAGGTAGGCCTCCCAGCCGACTTGATGACGTCGACCCTGCCCCAGTCGCCAAAGCGCACGAGCGGTTCTTCGTTGCAAAGGTACAGTAGCGTGGTCGTGTTGTCGCCGTCAAGTAGTGTTGTAGTGTTGTAATGTTGTGTCGTGATGTCGTTTGTCTGACTTTTGGCACTCTGCGCTTTATTTTTCATGAGCTATGGGAAGCATCACGCTGTGCCTTCGTGATCCTTATTGGCTGTCATACAATACCTTTTATGACATCGAGCAAGCCCCCAGCGATGCTGGCCCCCTCCCCTTGATCACCTGCACCTGGTAGGGGCAGAGCATAATATCGGTATGGCCTCGAGGCGGCATTGACGCTGCCGCCTCGCCACCATCTCATCTGGCCATGAGGCCGTCGCGACAAGACGAACGCAAAACTCGTTCTTGACCCGCAAACCGCATTAGCAAGACAGGTACAAATAAATGGACGACATGCACATTCGGTCTGGCCATGCAGCAAAACGTCTGTGGCAACTTGCTCTGAGAACAGTGGCAAAGACAACTCCAGGTCACTCATCCGCGCACCTCGTGGCATGGCGCTCGCAACCACATGGGTGCGACACCACACCGTGCGCTACCTTTTCTTACTCTCACTCTCACTCATGAAGCAAGTGCCATGGCTGCCAAGACCACGCGCAGAAGCAATGTCCCCAAGCATTGCTCAGCACAGACTCGCAGCCAGAAGAACGTGTAAAGGGGTCAATTTTTTGGAACAATGTTGAGGGCCGAGTCGGCTCTTGCCAACAGCGTCCCTTCTCATCGTCCGTCTTGGCGTCTAGGGCTGGCCAGTTTGCGTGGTTCCAGTTGAGCCAACCGCCTCTTCTCCTTTCGATTCTACAAAGCAGTCGTTCCCAGTACAATCTTAGCACTCACAGACCACGCGCACAGGTTCAACAGGTTTGCGCATTTACCGCTGTAATGAGTGCGCGTAAGCGCGCCTCGTCGATCGTGTCCGCATTTGTCGGCGCCGAGACAACAGGCTTGGCGGCGGCGTGTGACGCTGCTGCTGCTGCTTGCGCGCGAATCGCATCTGCTTCGTTCATACACGATCGATCTGGATGAGGTGGTACCCATGCGTACATCAGATGTTATATAATAATATATCTCGTTCAGAGTTTGCGTCACTTACTCAAAGCATGTTCCAGACGCGTAATCTCCCTATCTTTAAGCTACATACCAAAAGCGCACCGTCCTTGTTACCGGATGGGCTTTGACGCACTCTCTAAACGCCAATTCGACCCTCCAGCGACCCAAGACACCTTGGCGTTGTTGAAGCGTACCTGAAGGTCCGCATCTCTTTCCCGCTGAAGCTTTTGAACACTCGTCTCCAGAGCTTGTTGGGCTTTCTATCATGATATGCAATGGCCTGACAAGTCATTGGGCCTGGGAATACCTTTGCAAGCATTGTGATGCCACGCTCAAAATCCATATTCAGACCTTGGCCGTCTCGGCTTGGTCTTGTGCTTCGGCCAGCTGTTTCTTTAGACGCTCGTTTTCGGCACGCAGGCGCTTGTGAGTCTGTTGATGGGCTTTATTCTCTTCCTCTCGCGCAGACTGAGTCCTCGGCAGCCCCCGCAGCCCCCGCAGGTCCGCAATCCCCACCCCAATAAGCCAATCATGAGATATCCAGCCAACTATTGTAAACCGCGATGGTGTGCACGAGGGATAGGTTCAAGGGGTCTGTACAAGAGATGCATGCAGGCAGACCTTATGACGCTCCAAGTCTTGCTGCGCTTTGTCCCGCTCTGCACGAGCAGTAACGAGTTGTTGCCGCACTTGCTCGAGCTTCTTTTCGCTCCTTTGTGCTGTCTCTTGTAGAGCCTTTGCATGTTCCAATGAGGCACTTGTCTACGCGTTGAAGTACATGTCGATCCATGTCTTTGTCAGTCTCAAAGCTGTAAACGCAACAGGTGCACCAAGACTCTTGCCGACACACTCAACTCAGCTCCACGCGACTCTCGCCATGGGCCTGCATACCAGAGCATCTTGAGCTTGCTTTTCGCCTGCGCAAGCGCTGGATAGTTTGTGGCGGAGGCGTTCCCGCTCCTTCTCCAGTTCGGCAGTGCCCGCAGTACAAGAAGCATGCAAGGTCTCTAACTGTCTGTACGCCTCCTGCTGCATTTCTTGCTCTTGAGTCCGTGCTTCGAGCTTGGCAGCCTGTTTGGCGAGCTGCTCTGCTTGGTCTTGCACAACAGCCCGAGTTGCGTTGAGGGCCGTGTTGACTTTGCTGAGCTCTGCCATCCATTTGTCTTGAGCCTCCGTTGAGCGGGCCTCGGCCTCGGCTTGTGCTGCTTGCAGGGCTGTACGCACAGCCGCCAGGTGAGCACAGCAGACATCCAACACATGCTTATGCACGAGACGAAGGCCGTTCCATCAACGACAATGATGATGCCAGCGCCTGTCGCTGCATACATTTATCAGCTCAGCGTACCGTGCTTGAGTCGTGATTGCAAGGCATGTTGAAGCTGGACTTGCAACGCATCCACCTACGTCGCAACCCAGATTGTTTTCGGCATCAATCGTCCGGTCGCATGGGATACTCTCGAACAAGGGCTGCATCGTCAGCCAGCAGATGACGTACGGCCAAATGAAGCCCATCAAAGCCTGCGATCCACGGATCGGCTTCCTGTTGAGTTGGGAGCGCTGAGGCTTTTCCATTTTCACTGCCACCTGGGCTTGCGACGGAAATGGGTGGCAGCACAGGCCGCGATGCCGGCCGAGAGCTCGATTGCGAGCTCGGTCGTGCAGAGTCTGGTCTCGAGCTCATGTTGCCTTGAGAGTCCATCCGATACTCGTCTCTCTCTGTTCTCTTCACTGCACAAGAGCATGGGGGAGAATCTGCTCATCATCTGCTCACATCGCATCAGTCTACAACCATCTTGATCTCTTTACCGCCGTCGTCGCCGTCGCCGTCGTCGTGTTGGAATGCTGGTGTTGATGTCTGTTTTCTCTCTCTCTCTCTCTCTCTCTCTCTCTCTCTCTCTCTCTCTCTCTCTCTCTCTCTCTCTCTCTCTCTCTCTCTCTCTCTCTCTCTCTCTCTCTCTCTCTCTCTCTCTCTCTCTCTCTCTCTCTCTCTCTCTCTCTCTCGTGTTTCACTTGCTGACATTTTCGTTGGCAGGTTGAGGTGTGCTGAACAGCTGTTGAGGCGGAACCCGCTTCCTCTCATCTGAATCGCTGCAGAAAGGGCAGCGCCCGCCCCGGCGCATGCGCATAAATTTACGATTGGAAACCGAGCAAGAGCATTGGATACTTGTAGCTGAGGATATCCATCTGGGGCAGCATACGTTTGTTGTCATTCGTCTGGCCTTTTTTTTCAGTGTCAAGACCTGCATCATGGCAGCAACTGCAGAGGTATGCCGCATCGTCGTTTGCTGTCGTCGTGGTGGCTGGTGATGGCACGCCTGGACGTCAAGCTTGGCGTGTAGAGCGACGTGTAGAGTGGTGGGTGAATCATGGGATGATCATGACCTGACTTGCGCTGCAGGATGATCTTGTGGCCTATTTTTGTATATGCGGTCAACTCGCCATCATCACAGGTGAGGGCTCGTTGCTCGACCGTCTGCACGATGGCTGACGGCTTATACAGACAGACAACTTGCTGACGGCGGCACCCGGCACAGATGTGGTGTTGGATCAGTTGCCTCAACGCAAGACAGATGGTGCCAGTGTCCTGGACCAGGGCCGTTATCAGGCCCGACACCAATTTCAAACCGACCATCCCCTTTATATCCGGCGGTACGTTGGATGTGTGTGTGTGCGTGCGGGCGTGTGGTTGCATGTGCGCGCGTGTGCTTCTCAAGGTCTCCTTCCTCTCACCTTGGCGCTGCGCACCTTGTCAACTTCTTTTGACTGATAGAGCTGAAGGTGTTGAGAAACGGCACAGCCTGAAATGCCAGGGGTGTGGCCTCCCCACAGCATATACCATTGATAATCAGCCAAACTTCTTGTATCTCCTGCCAGGTGGGTGTTCCGTCAAGCCATGCGCAAGCCACAACCCAGAGACTTGAGTCGCTGTTGGCTGCACCCACTACACCAAGGAGCTGTCACACTCACATGCTAATGCGGGCTGGGACAGATGGTTTTGTAGCTAAAGGGCAGGAGCCTGATCTCGACAAATTTGCTCGCAGCTTTGATCCGGTCAGGCCTCCCGATTGCCAGGAATTTCATGCGCTTGTTGCAGCCAATTCAAATTGTATCAGACGCCTGAGCTCATGGTTTGTGATCCTGTATGCACGTGCGTGTCTTCATGGTTGACAGACGGCACAGGCTGCGCCCATCCCGTCAACTGTACCCTTTGGTACTTCCATCAGCACAACCGACGAGCATGAAGAAGAAGAGGCTCAGCTTGTGAGTAGGGATGGCTCTGTTGCCATGGGCAAGAACATGACATTGTGCTGAGTCACGCTACTTGCCAGTCCTCACCGTGTCTTTTGCACTGACTCCTCGTGCTCAGCTCCAAGCCGACAAAGCTTACGAGGCCGACGCCCGCATCATTCATCGGGTCCTCGGCCGGCAAGCAAATTATTCATCAAAGCCTCAAATGCATCAGGTCCGACCTTGCATGATCCACATTGAGATGCGGCTGTCCGATCGGGTCTGCAGAGTCAGCGAGCTGGTCGTCAATCGTCACGCCTTTGGAATCATGTTTCTTATGAATACACCTCGTTGCCTCACCCGTCTACGTGCTTGCATGATATTGTAGGGAGGGGAACATAAAAAGCGAGGAACCCTGCTGCACGACTAGCAGCCGAAGTATGATGTTCCATGCGATTCACAAATCAAACCAGCGTACACCTCCTTCCTCCTACGGCCACATTTGACTGATCTGCATAACATCAGCCGCCTTTCGCTTTGCAAGTTTTTGTTTCTCCTTTGGTGGTCGGTCACACGCGGAGCAGATTTTTCAACACACGAAAAGGAATGGATGACCACAAATTGCGGAGAAAGGTCCTAAATTGTTCAAGTGGCAAAAACATAAAAACAAGAAACGAAAGGCAATGGTACTGCCTCTTCGGCATCAAGGGTCGGCATGGCTCCATCAAAAGGAGCTTTGGCCAGGAACAAAACACCCTTGAAATTATGGGTCATGGAGCGGCACAGGTTTGTGTGTTTCCAAAGCAAGCGCCAAGACAACACAGACCAGGCAAATAAGATTATGATGCACGCCACCATCCATGACAGCCGCGAGCACAGCCCGCGGCACAGGCGAACGGCCGGCATGCTAAGATGGGCAATGACATGGGGTGGTGGAAAGTGGAAGCCAAGGATGTTCAGGCGTGGTAGAAAGGCAACGCGAAGCGCGCCAATGATGGTCACATGAAGAACAAAGAGTGGGGCGATGGGTGGTTTGTAGGCCAGCCATAGATACCAACTCAGGCAAGGCAAGAGTGACCCGGCACTCTTGCATAACACAATCGGCGACCGACAAAGCCGGAGCAAAAATCGACACAAGGAGAGACTGGCAAAACAACACAGGAACATCACTGGAACGAGAGAAGAGGGGGTTGGGATGAAACAGCACAGGAAACAAGGACATGTTGCACATCGGTTCCGGAACCAAGGCAAGCGGGACAAGGTATTAAGCAAGAGGCGAGCAAATGAGATGCCGCTCGCCTGATAAACATCAAAATAAATGAGGTGGGCCAATGCTGAAGGGAAACTGCGAACCAGCAACAACGCGGCGTGCACCCAGAGAGTACATGAAGAGAAGTCAGCGCTTCAAGATCACACGACCACAGGCATGGTAGAGCCGTAATAAGATATCGCTTAGCCAATTCTCGTGAAGAGGGGGGTCTATATGCCACCGCTGGACTGTGTGACTGACTGCCGCTCATAATTTGCGGGCATGGAGGTTCCACTCAGATTGGGGGTGAAGGTGGGTTCACTCTTGAGGCCAACTTGTGAGGCTAGACCGAGGGTCGAGGCCGGGTGGGAGGGCAGGTTGCCCGTGTTGGCCATGTGGGGCAGGTTATTGAAAAAGGCCGGGGGCACGTATGAGGCGCTGGTCATGGCCAAGGAGTTTGGCTGGATGTTGGCCATGTTATTGACCAAGGCTTGCTGCATCATCATCATGGTCATAAACTGCGCCTGCATCTGGGCGGCTTGCATCTGTGACTGGGCGTTGATCAGAGCGGGGGAGTTGGACAACCAGGGTGGCATTGCACCACCGGCCATGGCGGCTGCAGCTGCAGCTGCGGTGCCAGCATCGGCGTTGCCAGCAGGTTGCACGAGACCTTGAGCAAGATGTGCTGCATCGAGCCCGTGCGAGGGAGCCAAGCCGGCGCTTCGAATGGACTCTTCGTTTCGTGAAGAATCAGAGAAAGACCCCGGTTTGCTGCGTTTGGAAGCAGGGAGCCCACTGTCATCGGAACCCGATCCATGGTGACGGTGCGAGGGCAGAGGTGGGGTGTGACTGCTAATGCCATGCTGAGGCGAGGCCCAGGCGGGGTTTGTAGCAGCGGCTGCTTTTGTGAGCATGGCCAAAGCAGATGAATGGCTGGTATCGTGATCAGGATTGGAAGTGGTCTCGTCAGCGTCTGAGAGACTACGGTTGGGTCGGCGTTCCCGAGCCTTGGGAATCGGGCTGCCTGACTGTTGCTTCTCATGCACGAGGGCTTCAAGATCAAATTCATGCTCCTTAATACCAGAGTGCTTCATCTTGCTCTGGTGGCGTTGGAGCGAGTATTGCTGGCGATAGCGCTTCCCACACGATTCACATTCATATGGGCGCACGTCCAAGTGGGACACTGCGATGCGCCATGATCGAGGGCAAAAAGTACAGGCACTGCGGTGAGCGGCAAGTCATGTTATTACAACTTTAAGAGGCGACTGGTAGTTTGGCACGCACTGAGGTGGTATTTGACGTGGTCCGAGCTGTGTGTGGTACACAGGGCATCAGGCGGGGGTGGGTCATGAGACTTGATTCATGCGACATGGGCGTCGTACAGTGATGGGCGTAATTAGGGTTGTCAAAGGCTCACCGGTGAAGGATACGATGACAGAGTGGACATGTTTGGCGGTGGGAGTCAGTGTGGCGACGGTTGTGGCGCACAAGATGTTCGCTGTCGGGGTCAAGCAGAGGGGGGTGGGGGGGTGAAACACGTGGGTGAGTGTGAGCATGTGGAGAGGCAAAGAAGCCGGGGGAGGCTGAAGGAGCAGACTTTGCGTGCGGGCCGGCGGACTTGAAAAACAAGACAACGCACCGGCGCAAAAACTGCACTTGACAGGTGGCACACTGCCACAAGGGTTGATTATCTTGCATGCCAGTTGGTTCGGTGCCGTCCAGGTCGTGATGAGTCATGGCGCTTGATTTGTCGGTGTCAGTTGATGGGCGACAGCCAGAAGGGCAGGAAACGCTGCACGGTGGAAAGCGGGGGATGCATGCATACATACGGGTAGCCACACGTTAGATATGAGTATCTGTTGAGCTAGGGGTGAGGCGGGGGCAAAAGGCATCGATGCCGACGGGGACCACCAAAGACAGGGCACGCACTTGGGGATGGGCACCGGGGGGTCACCAGTCTTCACCTGGGCGTGGCACGTGTGGTGGGTGGCGTGTCCTGCCGGGGTGGACAAATGACGCGGAGTGCACGGCTGCCCAGAGGTTGATGGTGCTGCAGACTACAGGGCGACACAGTCGGCCGGCCGGGTCGAAGCTGGAATGGGGTTTCATCAAGGGCAAGATGCACATGAAGTCAGCTGACGACTTGATCATGGAAATTGGGTCATGATGCACCCCGAGAAGAGGAGTGAGAGAGGTTGTGCGGGCAGATTCCGAGTTTGAACACAAGTGTATCAGGCGAAGAGTCCCCACAACCCCCCCCCGTCAAGCCTTTGGTGCAAACGAACAAGCGGTGATGTGGTTGTGCAGCCGACACGGAGGCCGAGAGGCAGGTGGCGGAGCCGGACGGTGATAGCGGCGGCAGGGTGTGTTCAAGCGGGTGAGGGGCAGGCGTGGAGGCTGGGGATGCCCAATGTCCTACATTGGGAGCCGGACGACTAAAAGGCGGTTGGGGTGGCCAGAGCGGGGGAGCGAGGGGAACGGCGGGGAACAGGGCAGGTGGATTTGCTCAAGTGGCAGGCGACACAAATGTCCGAGGTCGTCGCCGCGTTGAGCCACTCGGGAGCGGAGTGGCGCAACTCGCAGCAAGACCGATGGAAGCACACGATAAAAAGTGGTGTGTGGCTCGTGTGTGTGTGCAGGCGTGTGTGGGTGTGTAAGTGATGAAGGTGGAGGCGTTGGTCCAGTTCGACATTCCCTCTTGGTGGGGAGGACGCGTTCGCGAGAAGGTCGTCATGTTCATGTGTGTGTGTGTGTGTGTGTGTGTGTGTGTGTGTGTGTGTGTGTGTGCCGAAATGGGACCATCACGCCAAAAGAAGAAAGAAAATGGATCATCTCGACGACCTCTCTCACAGTCACGCTTCAGCTAGGCTGAGGTAACTTGCAAAGCCGATCGTCAAGTGGTGGCCAGTGTTTCGCAGGTCGACTCACTTTGAGATCGTACTTGAACTTTGGATGGCTCGTATCGAGTC